CATCGAGAGATTCTGGCACGCACCGCGATGTGGTGCCTGAGATCAGCGAGATAGTCGATTTCTCCGCCACCGTAGACCACCCTAATTGAACTCCGCCCCCGACCAGGTAAATTGGGGGGGGGTTTATTTCAGGTGACCTGCTTAGATATTCCATCTTCTTCAGGTACTTAACGCCCTTCCATTCCAAGTAGGCGAGAGTTTTTCGCGAGGAACGGCTAGGATTATTATGGATATCACTATTAACGTAGATCTTCTCGAAAAGGCGTTCAATTACCACTTTTCGGAACGCTTATTCAGACCACACAATAGTGCGCACAGGGGAACGCAAAGACAACTTCTCTTCCTTACTTTAAGGCGATATAAGTTAGTTTATTGAACTGATGAGACACATTTTCACCATCAAATTCAACAACGAATTGTACACGATCACGAAACTCCGTCAGAATCTTCTGGATGACCGCCATCGAGAGATTCAGCTAGCGCGGCGTGATTCGTGGCCTACGATCAGGAGGTCGTTGATTTCTCTACCGCTGTAGACCATCCTGTTGAGCTTCTCCCGGACACGGTATTCGAGGGGGGTCAGGACAGGTGACACACCTGGGTGTTCCGTCTCCTTCAGGCTCTCAACGGGCCTTCGGTTCCAATAAACGAGTTCCCAACGCGCAGGTACAAGCGGAGGTTCCAGGACGATGTGAAGTCAGGGTATTGTCCTCGAGTTGTTGATGTAGACAGTACAGCGTTGCAACTTCCTCCGGGGTGCCGCGAAAGAAATATCGGCTCTCCCCATTCAACTTCGAACTCTACCACCCGCTGCGCCTTGGCGACTGTGGTGAAGATGATTTCCTGGACCGTAGCGGCGTTGTCGAAGCTGCTCGATGTTGGGGTGCTTCCAGGTCAAAAGCGCCGGCTCTCGCAGGAGCTGCGCATTGGTGACTCATACAAGGAGTTTCGCGCAAACTGTTAGGAGGTGACGTGAAGTTCGGCATAGGTTCTTCAGTTCGGCTGCGATTGGAGATGACTTCATATTTTAGTATACATGAAGGTGTTTACGAGGACCTGTTTCTGCTTATTGAGGAACATCTTGGGTATCTTTCGCCCTGGTACTCGTATCCACGTCTTCTATTTGGGCTACGTAAACTTTACTGATATGTGACTCGGCCAAAGTGTCTCTTTTTCCCCTCCTCTGTTCGTGATTTTAACTTTCAGTCAGTACTTTTATTTGCTAAAACAGTGCGGAAGAAGTAAAACCTAACACCAGTTAATCTGTCCCGGAGGACTGGATTTGTTTTTTGTTCCAGACGTTTGAAGCAGGTAACCGCGGGGTAAGCGTGACGCAGTATCACCATTCCGCCTGGCTATTATACCACGCAGTACCACCTTGCTCATGTTGAAATAGGTTAGGGTGCACTATTGCTAAAGAGTTATCTGGAAGCGATAAACCGGTTACAGGTGTCAGGGTGCAGGTTCCTAGCTGTTACATAGTTCGTGCGCTTGCGGACCAATGGCGCCGTATAAAAGCTCGCTCCTCTAGTGTTCCTTTCATCCAGTGTTTCTTTTCAAAGGCAGGTGGCACGATAAATCCCCACCATGTGCAGGATTAATCTGCCTAGCAGGTCACAATTCAGTGCCCCTGTGCAGGCGCTGCGTGGCGCCTCCTGTAAGGAGGTACCCTTATAGCGCCCTATCAAGCTGCAACATACCGACCCAGACGCCCACCACGCCCGCCCGCCCACAAATGGACGACCGATGCTGACGCTCTTCATTTGCGAAGTAAAATATGAAGCGAAGGGATTGGCATGAAGCGGCCGCAGTGCTGCATGGATATATGAGCACATACATGCAGCCGTATCTACCGTAGCGGTTATTGGCACGATGCCAACGGGGAACTCGTCCGAAATTGCTGTCAGTCGTGTCGAACAAAGGCTTCTTGTAGGTCGCTAGCCGTTTCACTTCGCTTTTTCGCCATATTCCTACCATATAGCACCCCTGTTAGCAGCGTTCAGACTTCGCGACGGCAGCGCTTCGGTCGCGCGTTCGACGCGATCGATGCAGTCGAAAGCATGCGCATCGATCGTCGAATCGCGCGACCGAAGCGCTGCCGTCGCGAAGTCTGAACGTGTCTTACCATCTTAGATCGATTACCAAATTATTGCGCCTTATCCCTTTGAGCAATTTGTTACTTCTGCTCATTCGAACTCTATCACGTTCAAGGCTCAATATTCAGAGGACTTACTGGAATTGTTATACCAATGCATCAGCTCTCCAGTCGACTCGCTTTCATTTCATTATAACATCTATTTCAAAGCATCAATCACCTGTTTAAAGCCAACTAGAAGAAAAAACTATAGCAATGACGTGCACATTCACGAATTTAATTCGTGACGCAATTTTTATTCCATTAACAGTCGAATGTTTCCATTCATTTCCCTGTGAAGGGACTCAAGAGCAGGAACTCGCTCTTGACTTCCCTTACTTTGCTCTTGAAGTCCCTCGTCACAGGGAAGCGGGAAGAAGATTTCCTACTGCACCTTCTTAAAATATTATGGAAGACGTTGCTGAATTCTGCTTCAGTTTGTATTCCCAAGCAAACGAACGACCTTTTTGTTTTTTTCGAGATCAATTATCTAGAGCCAAACATACCTGGGAGGGAGTAGATGTGCAAACAAGTTTTAGCGCGAAATTTAGCAAGCCTTCTTCGGGACCAGTACCATTCAAATGAGTCGGCTCGTCGGCTGAAGTCCAGAATGTGATGCATCTTACAATGGGAGGGATATATCAACGATCAAAATAGATAATGTGGACCACCTAGAGTTGAATTATTTGCTATTAACTCATCTGGTTTACTTTCATTTACTTTTCTTAACCGCCTACTTAACTTGACTCCGGGCGTCACTATCCGCCGGAAAAAGACTGTAGCGGTGGTGTAATGCGGGAGGGTCGCAGCTAATGCAACTAGCAGTGTATTCCTGAGCCAGACGATTCCAACTAATGCACCACTTCCACGTTTAGTCAATTAGGCCCTGGTGCGAAAGGCGCGCACGCGATGCCAGATAGAATGGCGCATTCGCGGATATTTTGTTAACACGATTCGTCTAGCAATGCCTGCTTTGTAAGTGTTCCCACGGCGGAGATGCTCCTTTCGCTAGGACAAGTGGTGTTCTTCTAAGAGGAACAACTCTTATGAAATTTTCTAACGAAACTAAAGCTTTTCAAGATGAGTCCCCAGCTTTGCAGCCTAAGCTCTAAGAACCATATTCTTGGACTGATTGCTGCCCTGCAGCATTTAGCTTTATAGGAACATTTATGCTTTCATAGGAAAACATCGAAACGTAAACAACACACACCTTGAAGCGTTCCTACATTTACCAGACAACTGATCCAAGCGATCTCAAGAAAAAAACGCTCTCTCTAAGTCCTCCTTCTCTTCTTCCTACCATTTTTATTTCCAGGTTGATAGCCAAGTTCAATGTATGTGTTCGTGAATATCGTATGCAGTGCCTTCGGCATGTGACAATCAGCATCATCGACTCTTCCTATGGATACCTCTGTAACGAGGGATACAACAGTGAGTGAAAAGCATTCCTTTTAGATGGGATCACCTTCCTTATCACGGAAATTCTAAATGATTCTGTTTGCCCAAAAAGCTGACTGAACAGAGTAGAAAAAAGTCGCACTAGCAGTCAATTAGGCAAGATACGCTGCAAGCCAACCTCGCGTATTTTTCCAATTCCTTAATATTGCCATGCAGGTTTCCGGTGGAGTACTTACTCAGATGGCCTAACGCCTCGAAGCGGGTGGTCGTCTTCTTCAAGCGCCTGAGCGTGTTCGCGACCTTGGGGACGGATATGATGAATATGAACGGAGGAGATATAATAACTAAGGCATCTTCGTCTTCCGAGACCAATTGAATAGTTTTAAAGGGAGAATACGATTTGAAGAATCACCGCAATGGATTAAGTGAATTCAATGCCTCCACGGTTGTTAATGAAAACCGAATCTCCGAATTGCGTTACAAGAGTGCAGAGTCAAGGATAGTCAGCACGGTTCGGTTCGGTATATAGGAGGATACCGCAAGAAAGGAAAGAAACACGATGGTGTCGTCAAAAAATGTTTTTAAACTGCTGCGTGAACATGTGGCTTCAGAGAATACAGCACGATATGTATATGACAAAGGAAAACAAAAGAAAAATAAAGTGGGACCTAGAGAAGAGAGGGGGAGGGTGGTGTCGGGTCGAGACTCGAGAAAGCAGAATGAAGGGCGCGCGGCTAATCTTATGCGAAGCGTCTTCCCGCGCAAATCGACCGATCGACTGAGCGTGACCAGGATGGTCAAGGCGGGGGGTCAAAGGGTACACGAACGGCACATTGACAATCATGCAGGGCCAAGGAGAAAGTTTTAATGTTGGTAACCCATGCTTATACTTTTCGAGTCCCGCAGCGAATCCAGAACGTTGTTAGGAACAGGATACATCGTTGTTGGGGAATCCCCAATAGGGGGGGTCGTATTTGGTCGCCAGGAGGGTGAGGTCGTATGTGTGAGCTGAGAAAAATTTATTTTGATAGTTGTTTTTTCTCGGCTTCATGGACGTTGTAAAGGAAGGGGGGGGGTCGTATTCGATAATTTGGGGGGAGGGTCGTATTTACGTTTTGCGAGCGTTGTGGGAATGGCAGTTGACCCCCCCCACCTGCCGGGTCCCCATTCGACGGCTCGATTCGATGAGGAAGGCCAGAGAGCCTGGGGCTAGTCGCACAAAGCTCCCAAAATGCGCTGCAGTCCAAATCCATCGAAGAATTTTTCCAGGGCATCCAATCTTTCCACCTGTTAGCGGATGACGGGTTGTTCATTGGTACCATGCTCGTCTGGGATGATGCAAACGATGGATGTCGGACACATCGGCTGGCCCCATAGTCACCGTATAGGCCAAATCGCATTTTGAAAAAAGGTGTCAGGAGACTGCACGAAAATGGAGTGCATGGCGTATCGGCATCAAAATAGCGACATGTTTAGTGGCCAGAACCCATCCTTAAATTCAGCAGGATACGCCTTGCACGGAGACGGTAAGCGTGCTACAGAAAGCTCAATCAACCAGCAATGCAGAAGTTCTCCCTAGTAGCAAAGTAACAGTTCTTGCAGCGTTTCCGCGCAAAAAAATCGTCTTATTTAGCTTTGCTCTAATAAATGAGGCTTCGAGTCGTAGGTTGCGGGCGAAAAAGTGCCTTGAAGGAGTTCCTAGATGATTGTGGTTGTCCTACAGGAGTGCTCGTCGTATCTGTTGCAGCGATACCATGACATCAAGTCCGATCTTCGAACTACATAGTACATGACCCTTCTCATTTACTTTTTGGATATGAAATTTGGACAAGTAGGGCTCGAAAAGGTTTTTAATTGTGGGGATCATACCCGCGAAATAGCATCACAACTTTCGAACTCCCATACAGTCATGCGATACCCTCTGAAGAAACTCCAACGTTTACGAAGAGGAGCTCACAAATCCCTTGCACTTGAAAATAAACTAGACAAGTGGCGACTTTGTCGGACTGCACCAAGCTTCCTACTGACTAAGCAAGGTTTTGCGAGCTTCTCGGAACTTTCCTCTACAAGAAGGGAAGTGCGTCGCGGTATCGAATTACTAAAGGGCTAACACTAAAACATATCAGATAAGGACATGGGAAAATAGCTCACACAAAGGCTTGATACCTTGGTTGACTGGCACTCATTCGTCGAGCACGCTCTCACATAGTACACTTTTGAGGCATACATTTCTCAAGGCATCCTCGGCACGGACTAGCATAAGGGACTGGACTGCTGTCACGTTGCCTTGATGGAGGAGGAGGGATAGACCGTGCTCGACCCGATAGAAAACTCGTCAAATCTTATTTGCGAGTTTACTCTGCGCAGTTTTAAGTGCTTTGGCCTATCGGAGAGTAGTCGGCAGACTTAACCGACGCACTTCGGGGACCGGGGTGGGGATGGGGGGGGAGGGGCAGGGGTGGGCATTCTGGGCACATTCGCGGCGTTCCGGTTTACAGCTTACTCTGGTGAAACCTGTGAACACTCCTGTGAATCTGGAGCAAGCTCGTCTAGCCACCATGGTAGAACCTGTCAACTCTTGTAAGCTCACGAAGTGGCTCTCTAATTGGGTTGAATCGTCGATGGGAAGGAGCGAAAGTGTAAAATGCTCTCCTCCTGTCGCTGAAGTGCCCCAACTTGACCTTCCTTCACTGTAGAATGGTGGGGAGCCCACGTCCGCTTTCAGTGATATTGCGGATAAGGGGGAGGGGGAGGGTGCAAAGTGGGAGCGTGCTGAAAAAATTTGTTGCTCATCGCCATAGCGCGCACTCCACTGAGCTTCCCTCGGCCGATGAAAGATCGCTCTCTCAAAGACTGCAGGCTGGTTTGTCTAGAGCTCAGGCTTTTTGAGGGAATATGATATCGCAAGAGTTAAAGTAGCAGTGGGAGATTTTGATGCCCCGTTCAAAGCCGTTAAGCAAGCATCCGCGCTACCTCTTTTTGACTTGGCCAGCTCAAAACGACCAAAGAGACCAAAGACCGCAGTGGGTAAGGAAACCCTACGAGAACTACTGAGCTATAAGTATAGGCTAAGAGCAGACGCTCTATACCAGCGTGGTAGTCCAAATAAGGAAAACCCAGAAAAAATTTTCATTGTTATTATAGGGTACTTCTGGCTACTAGAGTAAAAATAGCGAGCATGTTTGATCGTCTATTTCTCGGACCGCTGACAAATGGTATAGTAGCAGTCTTATGAATGTCACATTGCCGACGTGATTAATGTTACATCCGCTGTTTTATTGATGTCGTAAATTCGCCAGCTATTCTTATCGGCATGTCCATTACTTTGTGAGACCTCAAGTAGAACTTGGTTGTTTCAGCATTCATGGAATCAGCCGAGTGTCTCATGGAATTGGATCGCAAGCCGGAAGTAAAGAAATGTCACGACGAGACTCTTGTTGAAATCGAGACGGCTAACACTGAGACAGGGATCGCAATGGCGGATAAGCTCGATCGGATGTGTGGGTAAGTGAGGGAGAGAGTGAGGGGTGCCCACGCTCAGAACTGAACATTTTCAGGGCGCTGAACTTCTTCGCTGGCTGCGTGAAATCTCCAATTCAAGCAAGAATGCGGATCATCAGCTTGGCAAGTCATCTACAGAGTGCTCAAGGACACAACCAACACCCTAATGCCAGGATGTCATTTTACTGGCGCCTCAGCCAAGCTTCATCACACTTCATCTGAAGAAACAATGGCACCTTCCACTGTCACGCAGCCCATTCTAACGACTACCGAGCTTCGAACAACAACCACCACAGAACCCGTTCTCATCATCCAGGACTATGCTCGGTTATCCAGTAAGGATACAGCCGCTCACTCCAGGAAAGGCTCGAGAAAGAGTGTCATCAGCGAAGAGCTGTCGCAACTGAACGCAAGTAGCTCGATACTGAGCCTTAGTCTTCTACTGTTTATTGTGATGCTCTATTGAATTAGCTGTGGCCAAACTGTACGTGTATGAACCTCACATATACCTTCCGTATCTCTTGTGTTGTGTGATATTATATATTATTTACGCATGTCATGAATGGAGTTAGATGAAAACTATAACTGTTGTCAAGAGTTGCTGATTTTCAATGAATTGGCTAAAATATTGTTTCGAATGTTACAGCTTCTGTTTCGTGGAAAAGTGAAAGAATCGTTTACAACCCCAAACGTCATAGTACATTAGAGCGCAGTTCGGCGACGGGGGGATGGGGGATTTTGCACTTGCGTTGCTTCACTAGTTCCGGTTTACAAGTCTCACTGGTGAAACCTGTGAACTCTTGTGAAGCTGGAGCAAGCTCGTCAAGCCATCATGGTAAAACCTGTCAACTCGAAAAGAGGCTGTTGGGTCGACACGTCGATGGGAAGTAGCAAGAAGTGCAAAGTGCCCCCCCTCGCCGAACTGCCCGTATATTAGTATTTTATGGTGCTTTACTCGATCCACATCTACTGGTAGTACGAATGATGCAACAGCTACCATCCACTCACTAGTGCTGCAGACCCCCTTCCAGGAAGGCAGACATCAAGATGACCCAGTCAAGAGTCAAAAACAGAAGTCTTACGCGCTGGATGACTGACCGTGAAGAAAAAAGAAAAGGGCAGGGCCGTTTGAGAAAGGGAACGCTTAAAATATGGCCCCTTTTGTGCCAAGCGAAAGAGGAGGGGTCGATGTGGATATCGGGCGAAACACCAGACAAAGCAGCGAGAGAGCACGCAAACAAGCAAGACAGCAGATAAGACATCTATCAAACTGGCGGTTGACTCCGCCGGTTTGATAGATGTCTTATCTTGAGCAACCTTGTGCCTTGCCGCAGCTACTTTACCACTTTCTGACGTGGAATTTATACAGGGTTATTCGTTGCAGTCCACACTAGCTCTCCATACAAAGAACTCAGATAATTATGAGTGATCTTGGGCTCTGCCTTCAAAGGTAGACGGATCGCGATGAACCAGTGAACAGTTAGTAGGGAACGGGGTTGGAAGACCAGAAGTGTACGTCTTCTTGACTTACCCGTTAGGAGAAAAGGAGAGGAAGCCGTAGAAAACACTCCAAATAAGGCCCTACTTGTACCAAGCGGAGAAATAAAGCATCTATGTGGATATCAGGCCAGAGGCCAGAGAAGGCAGCGAGAGAGCATGCAAACAAGCGAGACAACAGACAAGACGACTACCAGCGTGGGCGGAGACACTGACTTTTTGGCGGAGCCTCTTGAGTAACCTTGTGCATTAGCCGCTACTTTACCACTTTCTGATAAAACTTGTACAGGATTGTCCGTCAGTCCACTCTAACTCCCCTAGAATAGCTTAGATAATTATCAGTGATTGTGGGCTCTGTCTTAAGGCCTATTTCACGAAAGCAAATCCTGGAACATGGTGCTGAAAAGGAAGTGTAGGGATGCGGCACTGATCAGCGGAAAAAACAGAGCGAAAACCGCTGAAAATGTCCCAAATAAGACCTTCTGGATGTCGCACTACTATGCGAGTTAGTTCCGCGCAGTCAAGGCATTCTTCGAGTATTTACTTTAGAGTGGTAGTGCATGACGTCCCTTCATCTCTTCTTTGTGGTTTCTCCTGG